CTAGGTATTCACTTCGATGGCACCATTTGAGGTGTTTGTCCAAGTATGAAAAGTCAGTGAAAGTCACAGAGCAATGAGGACACGGAAAAATCAGGGAGGAGGAAGCTGTGGAGAGGAAAAGGGACAGAAAAATATGCCAACTGATAAAGAAACAGTCTTGTGTGGTCAAATGTCAAGTCAAGTGAATCTTCTTAGGTTTAGGTTGTCATCTACAGTCATGGCCAAACGTTTTGGCAGTGACATAAATTTTGTGTTTTGCAAAGTTTGCGGCTTAAGCTGTTGTGGTGTTCATTCACATTGTTTCTAGATTATTGTGTAGAGTGATCAGATGCATTTTAAATAATTGCTAAAAGCATCATTGGCCAAAAAAATGAACTTTTCACAAAAAAACAAATTTCACTGTTTTTTTTGATCCTGACACAAAATGACACGGCCTGTTGTGTTCTTGTTAGCAATGGTTACCTCCAAAGAAACACGTGCAGCCATCATCGCTTTGCATCAAAATGCCCTCACGTGCGAGGAAATTGCTACAAAGAATATTGCACCTGAAAGAACCATTTATCGGATCATAAAGAACTTCAAGGAGAGAGGTCTGTTTGCAGTGAAGAAGTCTTCAGGACGTCCCAGAGTGGAACAAGGGTCAACACTGTCAATATTGACTCATATTTTTTTGCCTTTAAAACTTTTGATATGCTTATCATTGTTTTTCAGTATACCATAGAAACATGTGGAAAAATAATCTACAAATACTGAAGCAGCAAACTTTGCAAAACACAAAATTTGTCACTGCCAAAACTTTTGGCCATGACTGTGCAATCAATTAACAGTCAGTGTTATTAATAATGAATGACCCCCCCCCACACCAGAAAACATATATATAAACCATAATACTACTCTAAAAATTCAAACTAAACTAAAATGAAAGAACAAACTTAAAATAAAATAGAAATTGTAAAAAAAAATAATAATAAATAAAAATTCAAAACTACAGGATTTTTCAAAGCATGCCTCTTGCTGTCAACTTTAATATATGTAAACTGTGTGATTTACAAGATTGGGCATATTAAATAAATGGATTACCTGTGTTTTTCTCCAGGCCAGAATCACTCACAGAATTTTCATCTAGCGTCTCAAGCTTCACTTCCTTCCAGCTGTCATTCTCCTCCTTCACAATCAAAGTAGACTCTCTCTGCAGCACTTCAAAAATGCCAGGCTCAGTTTTGACCTGAAAACTAGGTGGGTTTAAAGGGACACAGTCTGGTTCTGTCTTTGGAACGAATGATCTGAAAGCAGGAGGATGAGGCTGCAGATTGACTTTCTGCTGCTTCTGTTGTTGGCGTTGTTCAGAGGACACCGTTAGGACTCCCAATGCTTCCAGCTCTCCTTCTTCTGGTTTGATCTGTGTGACCTCAGGACAGGTGTCCACAGCACAGTCCTGAGTGGCATTAGATGTTTTGGTTTCATTTGTGTCCGAACTAATGCCATCACCATTTGTTGGCAATGGCTCTTTTTCACAATTTGGCAGTTCTTTGGTTTTCTTTTTTCTGGATAACTTTCTTTTCTTTAGCAAGTTCTTTTCTTTAGCTTTCATCTTGTGCACAACCTAAAGAAATGTTTGAGAAGGACAATAATATAGTTTACGGTTTTATGTACAATACATTCCTGGTATAGCATTTATACTATTACATTATTAGAAGTATAATTTCTTATTTTTAAAGATAACGCAAACTAATAGGTATAGGCTTCTCTTCTCTAATCTCAAATTCCAATATCAAGTAACATCTGAATTTAAACCAAATTTAGCTGGAAAAACTATGTTTTGCAATATGGTAGCAAGTTTAAGGTGGTCTAACAGCCTGGACAAACTAGTCTAGCTGGTTTACCAGCGTGGCCAAGCAGGTGATCTCAATCAGACCTGCAGAAAACTCCTCTAAAACCAGCTAAGAAGACTCTGACCAGGCGGGGACACCAACTAAGGCTGGTTTGTGTTTTTCAGCAGGGATGTTTAATCATGAAGGTTCATAATAGCCAATGTGACAATAACAACTCAGGTTCGGTTCACAATAGCTCATATTAGCGGGTTGCAGACATGCAGATGTAAACAGAAGTGTCGTGTTGACTTAAATAACGCACAAAATGTTCTTACCGCAAATACTAAACCTTTAGTTAATCTGCTGCATTTAGGCGGCAATGAATATTCGATTGGACTGCAGACTGTGTTGATTGTCCTGTGGACTGTCACAGCCCTCAGCGTACAGCATCCTACAGCTCAAGCAGGCGTCTTACACATCCACCGCTAAAATCACACCAACTCATCTAGTTATACTAGTGAAAGTATAGCTATAAAAGACCTGGAGCAGTTTGCATTGACCCCGTTTTTCAGGTCTGAAATACGTTATATCGATGCTGCTTGTAGATACTAGATAAAGCCAGCAACGATAACACAAAATAAGGTCAACGCTGACGCTGCTTTTCAAAATAAAAGTTCCTGAACCTTTTTTTTTTCTTTTTTAAGATATTAGTGGACATATTTTTAACTTCCCAATAAAATAATTCTAAACTCATTAAAACCACGTAAATGTCCGTAAATACAATACTTTCATACCGTTTCCTTAGCATCTAATATAATAGAGATAAATCCACCTAACACAAGACAGATCACTAAGACACCTAATTTCAATCATAACTAAATTTGAATCCAAGGTACAGCTACTGTTTTTGGTTTTATACTGCAGTAGGTAATTTTATTCTCATTAGACTCATTTTTAGAGGAAGTAAGTGTCAAATCGGGTACAAAAACAAAGACAACACAACAAACCCTGATAACCATTAATGGATGATATTTTATTATGGACAAACCGCTGTTAAGCATCAAAGGCATGTGCACCAACCACAGTAAAAACTGTAAAAGCATTTGAAAATGTCTGAACAGAACACAAAGCTTTCTTTACCATATTCAAACCCAAATCTGTTTTGGTCTTGTGCATAATTTATATCACAATCACTTTTTTCTGGTTTAAATTAACCAACTTAGCTTAAAATTGCTTTCTCTGGAGTGGAATCCGAGATAAACATATGGCTTCTCCTGTTATGTTTCTGTTATTTACATTAAATAATCATAATGTCAAATGAACACTTTTCAAAATATCTTCTTCTAATTTACTATTACTTTAATTCTCAAAAAAAGTAACTTTCTACATCAACCTGTCCTACATAAATACCAGTCAGATTACACTCATAAAATAACAGTCCATCCTCAAAAAAAAAAAAAAAAAAA